CAGCCTAGGTGCGGGGAGGAGACTGGGAGCGACACCCGTGCTCGTGGCTCTGAGCTGGCTGGGGCCGGGGGACCAGGGGCAAGGTGACCAGACCAGACCAGACCTCCTCGCCCCAGCCCTGGGCAAACGGGCTTCAAGTGACCTGGCTCCCCAGAGGTCAAGGGGAAACTCCCACTGGTGTCCATGGGGCCTGAACCCCGCAGGAACCCACCAGGCCATGAGGAGCTGCGCCATGTCTGGCTCCATGGGGTGCCAAGGGAGGATCAGGCCCACGCTCCATGTGGGGCGATCCCAGGCCTGGGCAGCCCCAGCTGCAGGCCTAAGAGGTGCAGCAGCCTGCAGTGGCAGGAGCTGGCGTGGCCTGGGCCCATGACGGCACCACGCTGCCATGATGGCAAGGTCTGCACTGAGCCCAGAGGCCCCAGCCTGGCCTGGTTCCGCTCACAGCTCCCCCAGGCTTTGCCACATCGCTGAAGCCAGAGGCCCCACAGGAGGGCCCTGAGCCAGCATGGCCTGTGGCATGTGGCTCCCGCGCAAACCCAAGGGACACGTGGCCATGGAACGCAGCATCCCCTCCACTCAGGGCAGTGGGGCCTGCCACTCATGGGGGCTGCCTCAAGCGCCTGCACAGAGCTGGCCTGGTGGGTGCCTCTGTGCCCTGAGGGAGGCCTTGGGATAGGGGTCACAGAACTGGGGCTGGATGGGACCTCAAGGGATCTGGTCATGGCCCCTGGGAGTGCCTGTGCTGCTGCCCTGTCCAGGCCTGGGCTGCCTGCCCTGGGCACCTGCCTCCGGCCTGACGCCTCTCCCACATTTAACCTCAGGGACTGGCAGGGATCACAGGCTTTGCTCCTGCTCCCCAAACACCCAGTGGTCCCTGCTGGCCCCATGCCAGGCAGCCCCTTGCCGCAGCCGGAGTTGGCTTTCATCAAAGCAGGGCTGGATACGGCAAGAAGGGTTTATTTATAGGGTGTCAAATGCCCAGGGGGGCACAGTGGGCCATCCCACCCCACACCCCCTCAGGCTGTGCACAGCTGTTCCTGGCCGGCTCTCGGCCATTTCAACACCTTCCTTATGCCCTCCACCAGATCCGCTTTCTTGGGAGAGGCATAAATCAGAGCCCTATCACAAGCCATGGGGCCGTCCCTGGCAGAAAAAGGACTTCCCCACATGCAGGCAGGACCCTGTCCTCCAGCCCTGCCCCACGGGCACACAGCTGCCCCCGTCCCCACACATCTCAGATCACCCGGAACAACCTAACAAGCGCCCGGGGACAGCTCCTGCACTCTGACAACTTTATGAGGTCAGCGCCTTGGGCCTGTGCCCGGACAGACTGGGCTGCCAAGGCGCTGCCCCATGCTAGGTGGCGCGGTGACAGCTCAATCCCATCCCAGCCTGCTGCGCCCTGCCCTGTCTCCAGCCCAGGCCCCGTTACACTCGGAGCCCAGTTCAACACAATCGTCCCCAGGGGTCGGACCCCAGTGCCGCCCCCCCAGCCCCCACCCCATGATCCCTGTGCCTGGGCACAGGCGGGAGCTACATACATCCGTGGCTTTCTTTTCCGCCTGCTCCAGCTTCTCCTGAGCGTCCTTGACGTTCTCCGAGTACTTCTCCACCTCATCCTCCGTCCCCTTCAGCTTCTTCTGCAGACCCTGCTGCTCCTCCTCGAGCTGGACAGATAGAGCATGGCACGGTTAGGCATGGAGGGGCCCGGAGGGCCGGCAGGGCTGGGCACAACGTTCCCCCCACCGGGGGGATCAAGCTGGGGCAGAGGCAGACTCAACCCATGGCCCTGGCTTGGGCTGGGTGTGGGTTGCTGGGGCAGGCCAAGCCTGGGAAGGGAACAGGGGCACCCCAAGAACGTCTGGGACCCCTAGGAGGAGACATGAGGTGACCAGGGCAGCAGACCCAGGCCAGGCCCCTTTTGGGTGCCTGCCCTGTCCTCTCCCCGCCTGTCATCCAGTGCAGCTGTCACCCAGCTGTCCTTGGCTGCCTGGTTGGCCAGGGAGGGCCCAGGTGGGTAAAGGGCTCTGGGTGGGGGTCTCTCGGGCTGGGGGAGCTGAAGCCTCATCTGCACCCGCTGACCCTCTGCTTGAGTTCGCGAGGCATGGGCAGGTCACAGAGAACTGAAGGGGGCGGGGGGCTCCGAGCAGGACACTGGGGCCCTGGGGGAGTCTGGTGTGGGGGTCGGGGCCTCAGGGAGGACTGGGTGCACCGGGGGCTGGCAGGGGGTGTTTGTGAGGGGGTTGGGTGTCAGGGG